GGGCAAAGCACTCTCCAGCGCTTCTTTGGGGCTCCCCAGTTGTCTTGGTCTGGCAGTTCACATGTCTGGCTTCCTTGTTCAATAATAAGCTCCTGGAGAACAGGTCTTACTCACCCCTGCACCCTCCCAGCCTCCAGGAGGGCCTCACACTCACTAGGGGCAGAAGAAATGACCAAATGCATGAATGCAAGAATGAATGGACGGATGGTAAAACCTCTCCTAACACTGTCCTGTCCGCTTTGGTCACCTGATGTTGGGAGCCAAAATAAGTATTCAGTTCAATTTAAAACCAAGTACAAAGCTTTGGGGTCAGGGTGGCAGGGAGGGTGAACCAAGATATGAGGGCAGGACTTGGGAAGCTCCAGCACAGCACAAGAAGCCAGAAAACAAAACCGGAAAGAGATAAGGCCATCCTGATAGATGCTTTCCATGTAAGGGAGGTTCAAGTACACAGTGGATGAACTTTTGAGTTTCCTGTTTTTAAAACTTTCTTACGGTGAAGCTGGAACTGTACATTGTCCCCTTCAGCGGGGGGGTTGTGCTTATCTGGAATAATCTGGCACATGTGGCCTAGTCCACATGCGTGTGTAAGGACAACGGAAACATGGGAGCTGGAAACCACAATGCCAGCAGGCCAGGGTGGCCGGAGTCCTGGGCTCTGGCGCTGCTGGGTTTGCTGTCAGTGTGAGTGAGTCTCATCCCCCCGCGGCCCAGAGGCCTGAGCTATGATGCACGGAGGCCATACCGTGTCATCTCTAGAGCCCTTTCCAGCCCTGAAATTCTAAGACTCATGTCCTGGCCACAGAGAGAACTTTAGCATAAAAGCAAAGGAATTTTCCACAGTGGAAAGGCATTAGTTACTATGTACACAGACTATCTTACTTTAAAATATATGCGTGTATAATTTACTAGGATAAATATTTTTTATTATTTGAACACAGCTGTTTCCCAATAGTTTGAAAAAATCATAATTATGATGCGGCAGATATTCATAAATAGGATGTCTGCTCATTAAAAAAATTTAAAAAGCAGAATGCTTTTCCTTTTACATTTTTAAAACTGAAGTGTAGTTCATTTACAATACTGTGTTACCTTCAGGTGTACAGCAAAGTGATTCAGTTTTTTATATATATATATATTTATGCTTTTCCCGATTCTTTCCATTATAGGTTATTAGAAGATGTTGAACATAGTTCCCTGTGCTATACAGTAGGTCTTTGTTGTTTATCTATTTGATACGTAAGCAGAATGCTTCTTAACCCTGCCACTAATTTACAATATTTTGAATTCTGTTCAGAGTTTCTTATGTGAGAACTTAAGGAGGATATGCTGCAGAAATAGGCATGCCCTTTTCTCTGTTGGGTATTATGAAGGACCCGATTATGTGTTTTGTTTCAGAAAATTAACCCTTCTGCACCATGGTTTCCTCATCTACAAAATTTGAAGAATCAGTGTGTTTGAGTTTATTCATGTCTAGGATGTAAAAGGTTGTGTCCTGTGATCCCACGCCCTGGTTTTTCTTCTCTATCTGTAGCCATCGGGCAGAATAGCTGACACATCCTATGATAGATCCTCCTGAAACCCACGAGGCCCCATTTCCCCGCATCCTGGCTGCCAGCTAGCACTTCCCTGAGGTGTTCAAAATGTGGAGGGCCACTTATTTCTACAAGGATGTCAAACAGAGATACTCTGGGTGATCTCTTCCCAGGTAATTTTAGTTACAACGCATCCCTATGGGCTTTGCATAAAACGCAGTGATCTTCAAATAAACGGCACAGGTAGTAACCTTCCATCCTCATTCTAGAGAGGACCAAGCACAGGCTCACAGAAGGTAAGTGATTTGCCCAAGTGAAAAACTGTAAGTCTCTAAGTTCTCCACACGAAGCCCCGCATTTCTTTTGCTGTAAGAAATCCGGGTACCCCACCTGCCTCTGTCTGCCAGGCGCTGTGCTGGATCCCAGGCACCCAGCGAGCCTCAATTAACTTCTGGGAGGCGGTTATCATAAAAGTCCCACTGCACAGACGGGTTTCTGTGAATACAGAATTTGTCTCACCTGTTGGCCAGAGAGAGTCACGGGAAGCCCTAGGCTGGACAGACTCAGGTTCAAATTCCCGTTCTGACAAAATATATAAAGGACTCATACAATCCAACCACAAAAAAAAACCTGATTAAAATGGGCAGAGGATATGAATAGACATTTTTCCAAAGACATACAGATGGCCAACAGGCACATGAAAAGGTGCTCAACATCACTAATTACTAGGCAAATGCAAATCAAAAGCAAAATGAGATATCACTTCATACCTGTTAGAACAGCTACTATCCAAAATACAAGGAATAACAAATGTTGGAGAGGATTGGAGGAAAGAGATCCCTTGCCTTTTCCACTGTTGGTGGAAATGTAAACTGGTGCAGCCACCATGGAAAACTGTATGGAGGTTCCTAAAAATATTAAGAATAGAACTACCATATGACCCAGCAATTACACCTCTGGGTATTATCTGAAGAACATGAAAATGTTAATTCCAGAAGATATATGCACTCCTATGTTCACTGCAGCATTACTTATAATAGCCAAGATATGGAAGCAACCTAAATGTCCAATGATGGACGAATGGATAAAGACCTGGCACCTATGTGCGCGTATGCGCACACATGAATACTATTCAGTCATAAAAAACCCTGTGATTTGTGACAACATGAATGAACCTTGAAGTTATTATGCCAAGTGAAATAAGTCAGATGGAGAAAGACCAATAACATATGACTTCACTCATATGTGGAATCAAAACGAAACAAAACAAAACAAATGAACAAACAAAATAAAACAAAAACAAACTCATGGCTACAGAGATCAGACTAGTGGTTACCAGAGGAGGAGGTGGCTGGGGGGTGATGGAAATGGGTAAAGGGGGTGAAAGGTATGGATGGTGACTAGACTCATGGGGGTGATCACTCAGATATTGAACTGTAATGCTGCACACCTGAAATTTATTTTTAAACAATTCCCATTCTGGCCCAAAGTTGATGTTTGAGACGTTAAGTCTTGAGGATCAGTGGTTTTATCTATAAAATGGAGATAAGCACTTGGATACCACAGTGAGGGGACCCCAGGACTTGGAAATAAGATCATCTTCCAAGAATGAAACTAACACGAACACTTCAAAGATGAAAATATGGAGAAGCCAGATTGTGTTAAAGAAACAGAATGAGCCCTTGGATAGGAAGACTTGGTAGTCACCTGACTGAATACTTTTAGCCATTATTAAAGGTGGTTATTAATCATATGTGAAATTTTTATGTGTCTTCCCTCTTGGTTGTAAGTTCCAGGAGGGCAGGAGCCAGATCCATCTTTCCCT